CAATAATGTATAGTATGTGGAAAATAATGTGTTTTTTGAACCTTAAACCGCATAAACACATTTCATCACACCAAATACACAAAATAATGTTCTTTTTAGCAACATCATATGACCCCTTTAAGTGAGCATTAGATGACGCCAAAGGTAATCTAAATGTAAAATTTGGGGAAATGAGCTTGCATATTGAAAATTCTAGATAGCGACTGATACTGATAAATTTAAAAAATCTCATATCAGCAGATAAATAATTTGATACCAATATGTTGTAGGTTTTAGGATAGTTAAACTCTGTAACCTTCTGTTTCAGGAACTGCTGTCATTATTTGAATGTCGGGAGGGCAGGACTGACTCACCAGGTCGCCGTCTATGGAGAAGATTCCCAGAGCAGGTTCAGGAAATCCTGGAGCCGCATCTCAATACCAGGTAGGGCATGATCATTTTGCATGGCTTGTTGTCTGCTGCTTATTTTATATCCAGTGTTCATAAAACTGGCTTGTTTTAATTAGGTATAAGAGCTCTCAGAAGGTGGTGAACTGGTCTAAGTTGAAAAAGCCTATATATCTTACCAGCCGTGGAAGCAAATTCTCTGACTGGTCTGCAACATGGGCAGCATATCTCATCAGTAAAGTAAGTCCATGTCCACTTTTTTCCCCAGCCTCAAATGTAGACAAAAGACTAATTCTACCTCATCTTTTCATGTGTTTTAGGTTAGACATGAGCTTGCTGGAAAAGTGTTCAACTGCTGTAGTTTCATCATAAAGCATGATTACAAAGTGACCATCTACCTGCTGCCCCACATTTTGGTCTATGTGCTGATTGGATGCACTCAGGAGGAGCAGCAAGAGGTACAAATTCAAGCTTTGTGGAAAGCACTTGGTATGGATTTTTGATAGGAAACCGTCCATGTAGTTTTGCTCAGTAAAGTTTAGTAAAAGAAACAACAGTATTACCAGTGAAAAGGCTCTGTTTGTGTCATGTAGGTGAATGAAGAGATGATGGCAGTCCTGAAGGAGGGTGACCCGCGGTTAGTGCGGCTGCAGGAGAACGCCTCCAGTCTGAGTCAGCTCAGCACGCAAACCGTCTTCTCCATGCTGGACCACCTCACTCAGTGGTCCCGCCACAAGCTGCAGAGTCTGAGTACCAACAAGAGGCCAGGCAAACATGCCAGAGAGCAGCCGCAGGCACAGGCCACAGGTGACTTACCAGATTACATTTTGATTTAATTCAGTCCTGTTTTCTTCCATAAAAGCTGCTGGTTATTATTTTTTCATGTCTTGACATTATTGGGAATGATAATAGGCAATATGCCTTTTATTCTTTATTAAATCTTACTCCACAAATTCCCATTCATTTTTTATTTATTTATTTTTAAATGAGATAAATAACACACATTACTGACCTGACTCGATGCTTTATGACATGATTTTTTTTCTGTAAAATATTTTATCGTAAATGCAACAGCAGTAACATGTAAATTATATTTTTCAGCTCTGTATCATGTAAGTCAAGTTGAAATTAAAGTGTTTCTGACTCTTTCTTCATCTTCTTAGGCCCAGAGAACAGTGAATATCAAAGTGTTGTAGCCTTCCTTAACCGTATTCCTCAGGATGTGCTGGCCAAGGCATCCTTCCGCTCCAGAGCCTACACACGTGCTGTCATGCACTTTGAGTCTTTTATCCGTGAGAAGAAGCAGAACATTCAGGACCATCTTTCATTCCTCCAGGTCTTACCAGTCTTGCATGAGTTTTATGATTACTGGCTATCGCTACTTACTAAATAAATGCTTAATGCATAATATTTTTGTGGAAACCATGACACACTTTTTTCAGGATTCTTTGATGAATAGAAGAACAATAAAATAAAAAAGAACAGCATTTATTTGATATAGAAAGATGTTGTAATTATAAATGTCTATACTGGCTCTTTTGAAAAATGTAATGCGCCCTTGCTGAATAAAATTAATTTCTTAAAAAAATCTTACTGACCCCAAACTTTTCAACTGTAGTGTATATAGGAAATCAGTTGCCTGAGAAAAGTGCCGTTATATAATTTGTTCAGTGCTACAATTTATCAATCAGAATCATGTATTTCAGAGAGTCATGAAATAAAATAAAATTTGACCTATCAAATATGCATGGGGTTTGAAAATATTCAGAAAGAGTTTAAAACAGTTGCATGCACAACTTGTCTAGAAATCAGATGAACTCTTTTAAGTTCTGTTGTAACCTGTCTCTTTTTCTGGACCTCTTCTAGACTATGTATGCGGCCATGCATGAGCCAGATGGCGTGAGGGGAGTGAATGATCTGAGAAAAGAGGAGCCGTCATTGAGAGAGCAGATCCTGGAGCATGAGAGCATTGGACTACTGCGTGAATCCACTGCCTGCTACGACAGAGCCATCCAACTCGAGCCAGACCAGGTGACAAACACACACACTCTTATTCTTATGGGTACCTGCCAAACTCAGGTCAGTGTGTGCAAATTTAGGCAGTGTCCAAACAGACCCAGTGCCAAAGTAAGTAAACTACTAGTTAAACAATGTATCACAAATGACATGTGTGAATTATGTATTTCAACTCTGTATAATTTAGCACATTTAACAAAAAAAAACAAACAAACAAATAGATATATTTTTTTTGTGCAAATTGATGCAGAGTTTATGAAGGACCAAACCTGTAGAAAATTCAAACAAATAAATAAAGGTGTGTCAATACAACTGTTTATATTTCTGGAAAGTTGTAATTCGACATAATGTGAATCGGGGAAAAGAACTTGATCTGCAGTATCCCATAGCAATTTGTACAGTGTATAAAGTAAAAAATAAATACAGAAAATAATTAATAAAGGAAAAAAGTATTACAAAAAATACATTTAGGACTACATTTAATAAAAAATTAATTGTATTTGTTCTATCAAGTAATTTATTTCTTCATTTATTTTCCAATTATTTATTTATGCAGATTTGGGCCTCCATAAGAGTCAAACCATTTAATTTTATTCAGTTATAGAATGATGCTTCAATACTTGATATGCTTTTAATGACTGAAAATTCAAGTAATATTTTGAGAATAACTCAAGCAAATTCAGTAGATCCTATATGGCATAAAGTTTTTGTTATATCCTGTAGAATCCTATGCAGTAATTTAAGTTAATATCTTTTTTTCATCCAAGTGCAGTTCATAACTTTTAAAGGGGTCATATGATGTTTTTTTAAAGATCATTATTTTGTGTATTTGGTGTAACAGAATATGTTGACATGCTTTAATGTTCAAAAAATAGTGTGGTAGATATGTGGGGGCGTGTTAGAACGAGCCATTTTAGGGGGGCGTGGCAGAGTCTTAACTTTGATAAAGAATATCTCTTTGGTTTTGAGACTTTAGTCTTTGCAACTTCAGGGATCTTATCTATGCACAATCAGCTTGTAACACTCCAAAGAGAAAGGAAAACTTGAAATTGCATCATATGACCCCTTTAAGTAAGATCTAATGATTTGATTTAGTTTAACTTCAGAGTGTTCTGTCTCTGACATTTGTGTGGTTAACAGTTCATGTATTTTCTCATTTTTTGTATTCTGGTAACTAATACTTTTTCCTCTCACTTTCATATCTTTGCATGCAGATTGTCCATTATCATGGTGTTATGAACTCTATGTTGGGTCTTGGTCAGCTCTCTACAGTAATAACTCAGGTCAATGGAGTTCTGGCAAGCAGGTAGGTGTACTGATGTAGACGCAGTCCTCTGACACTGTTTCATGCAACCACAGATTTTGTTTTTTTTAAACCGATGTTATTTTCTTTACAAAGGCCACGATGGAAATCCGATCTGAATGCGTACCGGGTCGAGGCAGCATGGAAGCTGTCAAAATGGGACTTAGTTGAGGACTATATTGCCTCTGGTAAAGGACTTTTGCTGTTTCTAGAAACAGAAATGTTTTTCAGATTGAAGAAGCATTAATATTTGTCATATCTGTTTTATAGATTGTAAGTCCAGCACATGGGGTGTCAGACTTGGCCAAATGTTGCTGGCTGCCAAGAAGCAAGATTCCGAGGCATTCTATGAAAAGAAAATGAAAAGTTTAGCAGAATGTCTGCACAGTAAAAAAAACAAAAAAGAAACACGATTTTTCGAAATTTGTAAATAAAACAAAGAATATTGGAATATGTTTTACAAGAAATTACTATATCAGTCTTGGTACTTCAAAAAAAAAAAATCAGGTTTAATTCAATGTGTTATTTGCTATTTCTTTGTAATTATTTGTGAAATTTACTAGCAATTTCTGAGTGAAAATGATTTCAAAATAAATCCTACACTATTTTTTTTAAAGTGAATAGGAACCAGGTCCAAAAAGCAAAAAAGCCACTATAAAAGTATGGTAAAAGTAAATGCACTATATGATTAATTTGATTTATTTCAAGTATTCTGAACTGTGCAACAGATTTGAGTTGTTATTCACTGAAAATCTTGCTTGATAGCTGTGGTCACCATTCAGTTTGATTGTATGGAAAAGAGCAGCTTGGACATTTGCTAAAAAATACTTTTTTGTCCCTTAAAAGAAAGTAATTCAAACACTACCAGTTCTTTTCCATTTTTATATATTTTAAAATGGAATTTATTCCTGTGATGGTAAAGCTGAATTTTCAGCAGCCATTACTACAGTCTTCAGTGCCGCAAAATCCATCAGAAATCAGAGAGTTCTTTCAAAATCATAAAAAAAATCTTAATTATTCCAAACCTTTGACTGGTAGTGCACATTTCAAAATACATAACCATAAGTAAATAATAACATTTTTTGAGTGGTAATATAATTATAATGTATAACATTTGTTTGAGTGGTAATGTAATTAGATTTGAGAGTGTGTTTGTGTGTTTGATGAAAACTTCTTTGCAGTTCTTCATGTGAGGAGCAGGTTGGTGAGTGCTGGCTGCAGAGCGCTCGTGTGGCCAGAAGAGCTGGCCATCACCAAACAGCTTTCAATGCCCTGCTCAATGCTGAGAACTCCCTCTCTGAGCTCTTCATCGAGAAAGCCAAATGGCTCTGGTCTAAGGTATAGCAGTTCAGATAATGTTTAAATACCAATGCTGATCTCTTTGATGGAGGCCTTATCCATCATTGAAATTGTTCTAAGGAAAGATGTTGTTGTTATAGGGTGATGTGCATCAGGCTCTGATAGTCCTGCAGAAAGGTGTGCAGCAGTGTTTTCCTGATGAACAGCCACTCACCGACCCAAAGAGAATCCAGATAAAAGGGAACGCCATGCTGCTGGTGGGCAGATACATGGAGGAGACGGCCAACTTTGAGAGCAATGCTATTATGAAAACCTATAAGGTATTTCAGTCAATTACATATGAGGACAAATGTAACAGAAATCAGAATGATTAGACTAGGGCTGGGCGAAAAAAAATAAATCTTTTTTTAATTATCATTTAACTACATAACCTAAAATGTAACTACAGTGTAGTTCAAGTAAAACACATCAAGTGGACAACATGGTGTAAATGTAAAATTAATTCACTTCACATGAAATGTGAAGGCAAAGATTGTAGAAACCCCTCTTTAACATATCCTAGGTGACCTTGGACCACAAAACAAGTCTTATGTTGCACGGGTATATTTGTAGCAATAGCCAAAAATATTGTATGGGTCAAAATTATAGATTTTTCTTTTATGCCAAAAATCATTAGGATATTAAGTAAAGATCATGTTCCATGAAGATATTTAGTAAATTTCCTACCGTAAATATTTCAAAACTTCATTTTTGATTAGTAATATGCATTGCTAAGGACTTCATTTGGACAATTTTAAAGGCGATTTTCTCAATATTGTGATTTTTTTTTTTTCACCCTCAGATTCCAGATTTTCAAATAGTTGTATCTCGGTCAAATATTGTCCTATCCTAACAAACCATACATCAATGGAAAGCTTATTTATTCAGCTTTCATGTGATGTATAAATCTCAATATGAAAAAATTGACACTTAAGACTGGTTTTGTGATCCAGGGTCACACATGTTCAGAAATAATATAAAAGTTCAAATTCAAAATGACTAAAAGTATGGTGGGCTATTATTAATAGTAAATGTTTTGTAAAAACAAAGAACAAGCATCTTTTAGCCTATCACCATCATACAAACATGAAATATCAAACATGTAGTAGTTCTTCACAGGTTTTTGCATTCAACTGTGCTGCTTTTGTTTTGTTTTTCTATGTAAACGTGCTTGACAGACAGGATGTGTTTGACCGTTACACACGTGTCTTCTGCAGCATCTTGCGCATGAAACACTTCTAAAATGCTGCGTTCAAGCTAAAAGCAGTTGTTCAAGGCTTGTTTCATAACACACATTAAAACACATTAGTATACTATTTTATGATCCTTCATAGACCGTGCTCAAATGTGAGCAGTTAATCAGATGTGCTGTCATGCTTTCAGATCAATTTTTGTCTCTTAACTGTCATCATTGGAGTATTGTGTGTAACATGTCTACACTCTTTAAAATAAAGGTTCCTTATTGGCATCGATGGTTCACTGAAGAACCTTTAACATCTATAGACCTTTCCATTGGACAAAAGGTTCTTTATGGTGGAAAATGGTTCCTTAGATTATTAAAATGTTCTTTACAATTAACTCTGTCCAGCCATAGATCACACAGTGTCTTTTTCTTTCATAAATACAGGATGTCACACATCTGTTACCAGAATGGGAGGATGGTAACTTTTACCTGGCCAAATACTATGACAAAGTGATGCCCATGGTCACTGACAACAAACTGGAAAGACAAGGCAACCTCATCCGTTATATTGTCACTTATTTTGGAAAGTAAGATGTTTTCTATTGGTAATCCTCCTGTAGGAGCAGTTCCTGAATTAAATGTTTTTCAATGTGTGATGGGTAGAAACAGTAATGTTTTGCTCTCTCTTCATAGAGCCCTGCAGTTTGGCAATCAGTACATCTATCAAGCCATGCCCAGAATGCTAACCTTATGGCTGGACTTCGGAGCCAAAGTTTATGAGTTTGAAAAAGGTAAAACACAAAATTACCCACGATAATCTGTAGTGTTAAAACGAAGATATTATACAATTCACTCGTTGTATTAATGCATCGATTACAAATCTTGCAGATTCATATGCATTGATTTTAAAATATTTTAATCCTTTTATTGGCCTGCAATTGACTTCAATCACAAAAGAATCAATCAAATTGATTAACTATAGTTTTAAAAATAAACAGTTAAAAGATTTACTAATTTTATCAATGCATTGATTATGAATCGTGCAGATACTTATGCATTGTTCTTGAAATATTTTAACCTTTTAAATAGGGCTGTCAATCGATTAATTTTTTATCTGATTAATCAAATCCTTTTTCTGTGATTAATCGCACACTTCATGAAATTAAGCATAGACCATTTATCTTGTTTCAAATGTTTATTTTGTCATCATTTGCTATATCCAGCAAAGTAAACCAAAAAATTGAAGGGTGATTCTCAAAAATCTGTATTTTCTGCAAGCTTTTTTCAAGATAAATTTAGATGTCTTTCCAAAAAATGACACTTAGAAACTCCAAAAGGACACCAAAGAACCAAATGATATAAGGAGCCCATATAAGCACATATGAAAGAAAAAAAAATCCGAATTTTATAGTATGTGTACAGTGCAACAGCAAAGAGCTTTTTTACATTTTAGAGAAGTCAAGTTGCGATACCGAACAGGACCACATGGAGATGCCAAAAGAAAACTAAACCAACCGTCTGCTGACTGCATTTATATATCTACTACAGTACACAGATCCATTCAGAATAACTAAACACAGCAACATAAACATGACAAATCAAAACATGATCGTGAATGTGTGTGGAAACAACATGAATGTACGGAAATGTCTGTGCCTGTGCATAAATACAATGTGCGATCAGTGCGTCAAGAGCACTCATACACGCATTATTATAATGGACTCACGCGTGCTTACTGTACGACTCCTGTACGCCACCGCAATTGTCTTTACCTTGATTGCAGTCTTCATCCATCAAAACTTTACTAGCGAGACTGGTTATCAAGTCGAGAAACCATAGTTTGCATCTCATCTGGCCATACAGCGGTGGGATGTGTTGACAATCCGTTCAGTCTGTACTTCACACAGCGCGACGTGTGAGGGCTCGCGCTCTTCAGAGACAATCTCATGTCATCTCAGATGACAGAGCTTGTGTTTAAAGCGAAATGCACTGGAATGAATAATTCACTTAAAACGCAACGCGAGTCTCTGTTCTCTCTGCGATCTCTGATGTAATCAGCCTGGTTTCCTTTATAGTAGCGCTGTTTTGGACGGATTGTTTGAATGCATTCGCTTACTGGATCATTGGACTGAAAACTTTCCCGGAGTTTAGCAGCTTAAAATGATCTAATAGCAAGCAGAGAAGCAAAATTGGGTTAAAGGGTTAGAATAGAAATTGTGCTTCAGTAATTTTGCGTTAATTGCGCAAAATTATTTTAACGCGTTAAGGATTGTAAAATTAATCGCATGCGTTAACGATGACAGCCCTACTTTTAAATAATAAATTATTTGTGTTGACCAGTAATTGATTTCTGATTTCCACTATGACACACCAGCTTCCTCCTTTTTTTTCAGCTGGCCGCTCTGACCGAGCCCAGATGCGTGCTGAACTCACTAAGATCAATTCCGTCATCAGCGAACACACCAGCAACCTCTCGCCCTATCAGTTCCTCACAGCCTTTTCACAGCTCATCTCCCGAATCTGCCACTCCAACAATGAAGTCTTTGCTGTGCTGATGGAGATTGTGGCCAAAGTTTTCTTAGCTTACCCACAACAAGCTATGTGGATGATGACTGCTGTGTCAAAGGTCAGACACCTTAGACACATCTACAACCATAAATAGTGTCTTTTCACAGATATAAACTGTTTAATGTATGTGCTTTTTTCTTTTTTTTTTTTTAGTCCTCCTATCCGACACGAATGAACAGATGTAAGGAGATCCTGAAGAAGGCCGTCAGTCTAAATGAGTCATTTGGGAAATTTATCGGAGATGCCAACAGACTGACTGACAAGCTGGTGGAGCTCGGCAATAAACCAGTAGGACAAGACTGTACCGCTAACAAGAAAATAATATTTTGATTTCCATGGAAACAGCTTTTATGCATTTATTCTTAATCTTTACTATTCCCTAACTTTCCGCTTAGCATTCATTTTAAACTCAGTTGGTTCTAAAATTACTGTTGCATTTGGATGCAGTCAGACTGTGTTTTTGTTTAATTGTGTAGGTGGATGGGAACAGCAGCACCCTCATCATGAGCGTACACTTCAAAATGCTGAAGAAACTGGTGGAAGAGCCTACCTTCAGTCAGATCCTGATCCCCCTGCAGTCTGTCCTTATACCCACCCTGCCTTCCACTGGAGGAGCCAACCCCAAACACGATGCCTTTCCAGGACACTGGGTCTACCTCGGTGGCTTTGATGACACAGTCAGTCCCGCCTGTTTCACCATACACCAGTTTTTGAGCACATAATGCATCACTCTCATTTCAGATGATACTTTATTCATGATTCATCATTACACGTTTCATTTAATCAAGGTGGAGATCTTGGCATCCTTGCAGAAGCCTAAAAAGATCTCGCTCAAGGGCTCTGATGGAAAGTTCTACACCATGATGTGCAAACCTAAAGATGACCTGAGGAAAGATTGCAGGCTGATGGAGTTCAACTGTCTCATTAATAAGGTACTAGAGATGTGCTGTTCACTAAATACCTGAATGATGAACTGCATTTTCCTGAGAACTTGCCTAATAAAAATGTGCCTTTGTTAGTCTTTGAGGAAAGATGCGGAGTCTAGACGGAGGGATTTGCACATTCGGACATACGCAGTCATCCCTCTAAATGAAGAGTGCGGCATAATAGAGTGGGTCAACAACACGGCGGGTGTACGCCACATCCTCACAAAGCTGTATAAAGAGAAAGGTGTGCTGATTTCATAGCCTTGATTTCTCTTCAGGATATACAGTGTATGTCATAATGGAGTAATGTTATGAGTTGCATAATATCCTGACACAGATCGTAAAATAAAAGGTTGTATCACTCTGAAGTGATTTATTTTGTGGTAATGATCAGTTTATAGTTGTTATCACCAAATAAATAAACTTAGGCCTACTGCCATTCAAAAGTTTGGGTCAGTAAGATTTTCATTTTTTATTTTTTGGCAGGATGCATTAAATTGATCAAAAAAGGCAGCAAAGGCATTTATAATGTTCCAAAAGATTTATGTTTCACATAAATGCTGTTTTTTAAACTTTCCATTCATCAAAGAATCCTGGAAAAAAAATGATTTCCACAAAAAAGTATTAAGTAGCACCGTTTTCAACAATGATGTTAAGAAGAAATGTTTCTTGAGCAGCAAATCAGCATATTAGATTGATTTCTGAAGGATCATGTGACACTGAAGACTGGAGTAATGATGCTGAAAATTCAGTTTTGCCATCACAGGAATAATTTACATTTTAAAATATATTCAAATAGAAAACATTTATTTTAAATTATAATAATGTTTCACAACATTTCTGTTTTAATACATTTTTATTGACCCCCAACTTCTGAACGGTAGTGTACTGTATATTGACATGAAATATTGATTAACCAATCAGAATCAATTCTAGAGCGCGTTAAGCATGCTGTTTTAAAAATTTTAAGCATACTGAGTGTTATTTTCAGGCTGTTTTCAATTCCCATATTTTTTGTGAAATTGGTCTAAATTGAGTTGTATCTGTATCTGTAAAGTGGTGTATCTGTTTTTTGAACAGGGATCTATGTCAGTGGGACAGAGCTGCGAAAGCTGATTTTGCCAAAAACGGCATCTTTTCAGGAGAAGCTAAAGCTGCACAAAGATGTGCTGTGTGCCAGACACCCACCAGTTTTTCATGAGTGGTTCCTACGGACGTTTCCTGATCCCACCTCTTGGTATATATATTACAGGCTTTCAGTGTTCATATTCATAATATCTTTGCACAGTAATATGCTAAATGTTTCTTAGTGTTTGCTATTAAGGTGAGTTTTGAGTAATTCATTAGAAAAGCACTTACTTGAACATCTTTGCACATGGGGCAAATGTGGCATTTCACAGGTACAACAGCAGGTCTGCTTACTGTCGCTCTACTGCAGTCATGTCTATGGTGGGGTATATTCTTGGACTTGGCGATCGCCATGGAGAGAACATTTTGTTTGACTCCCTAACTGGCGAGTGTGTCCATGTGGATTTCAACTGCCTCTTCAACAAGGTTTGAGATGAATGAGGAATGTGACAGTTTTATTACTCCCTATACTTGATATCTTTGGGTAACTGAAGAATAAATGTGTTTTTGGTGCTTAAGGGGGAGACATTTGATGTTCCTGAGGTGGTTCCCTTCCGGCTCACTCAGAACATGGTTCATGCGATGGGGCCGATGGGCACAGAGGGCCTGTTCAGACAGGCCTGTGAAGTCACACTCAGACTTATGAGGGACCAGAGAGAGCCACTCATGAGGTGAACATCTCTGAACGTACACAGGCAGACAAAATTCCACTACTGTTCAAAAGTTTGGGGTCGGTAAGATTTAAAAAAAAAAAATTTTTTTTAATAAGTTTCGTATACTCACCAAGGCTGCATTTATTTGATTAAAAATACAGTACTAACAGTGAATATTGTAACAGCTGAAATATTATAATTAAAAATATATATATTTTAAAATCAAACTTTTTGCTGTGACTGCAAAACTGAATTTTCAGCAGCCGTTACTCCAGTCTTCAGTGTCACATGATCCATCAGAAATCATTCGAAAATGATTTGGTGTTCAAGGAACATTTATTATTATCAATGTTGAAAACTGTTGTGCTGTTTAATATTTTTTATGGAAACTTTGATAAATAGAAAGTTCAAAAGATCAGCCTTTATTTGAAATAGAAACAAAATTTACTGTCGCTTCTGATCAAAATTAAAGTTAACAAAAGTATTAATTTCTTTCAAAATAAAAACATAACCCCTATGACCTCTAACTTTGAACGATACGATGCAGGAACATGCATATCCATATCACTTTAGTTGATCTTACTAATTACTCTTACTACTACTAGATGTTTGTCTATTTTTCTTTTTTGGTATATTATTTATCAAGGGTTAGAGGATTGACCAGTATTATTTTTATGACTGTTACAGATAAAGATTATGTTTATGTGTCTAACCTGAACTGTATTTTAATAAATTTTCTTTCTGTTATTGTAATAACACGACTAATCATTGGACTACAACAACCAAAGCAAAATATACAATATGAATATTTTAATAATTTTTTATTAATTTGTAACATTGTAACATTGTTAAAGTTTTTTTTTGGCAATCTAAATAATCACTTTTGTGCTTAAAATGCAATGCATTCCTCACTTGTAAATTAGTGCATTAAATAAGTAATCTACTTTACCTCTGAACACTGTTATTTCCTGTTGAATGCCTGGTTGTGTAATGGCATTGTTGAATGATATTCCTTATAGACCCACAAAATATAGCACTTATTAGTAGACCTGATACTGAAGTAGAAATGCATGAATACTGAAAAAAAAAAAAACTCAAAACAAATCTCTGTTCTATGCTGAGTGTGTTCGATTTGCGTAATGAGTTTAACATTTCATACAGTATTTGTATAATACTTAAAATTTCATGATATCTTTTTATTCCTTTTAACCAGTGTTTTAAAAACATTCCTGCATGATCCTTTGGTAGAATGGAGTAAACCTGTCAAGGGTTCATCTAAGACACAAGTCAATGAATCTGGAGAGATCCTCAATGAGAAGGTACTTCACCCCTTAGTTACTTCAGCCTGAATGAAGATGCTTATCTGTGACGTCTGTCATATGTGCTTATATATTCAGCCAAGCAGGCTTGAATTATGAGTAAACATAAGACATTATGGTTCGAAGTTATAATACACTTGCTTGTCAGTGCCTCATCTTCAGGGCCGTTTCTAGCCAATTTGACGCCCTAGGCGAAATCCCTATTG